AAACTGCTCTTTTTCAAGAACAGCTCTTATCAGAACTACCGCTTGCCCAAGGTCATCCAGCCAGGTGCAAGTGGAGGAGTGGGGAATCAAACCTGGTCCTCCCAGATTAGAGTCTGCGCACTTAACCACTACGTGAATGGATCTGGAAAATCATGGAATGTGCGGAGATGGACAAATTAACTATGATCCTGAAAGAAAAAGACTTTGTTGATGCTTGGACTCCTTTCTATGTGTGGTTTAAGGATAAATATGAATATAAGACTATTATCTATTAGACACGAGGATACTACGTGATTTAGATAATATGGACTGTAAATTATCCTCAACTTGTATTGAGAAAGCATACACGCTGCATTATTTTTAATTGTTTTTTTTCTAGTTCCTCCCCCTTTTCTTTTTTTTCTCTTTCTTCTTATGAAATTTCAATAAAGTTAATTTAAAAAAAATACCCCATTCTTGTTCCACCAGCCGGTAAATGCGTAATCTACCGCACCCAGAGAATTTATTTAATTCATTCATTCATTTCTACCCGACCTCTCTCTCCAATGGGGACCCAAAGCTAATTATGTCATTCCCCTCTCCTCCAAAATATGGTGATGACACCCAGCTCTATCTGATGTTGGGCGGCCGGTCGGGCTCCGACCCAGAAGGTCTGAACCGGGCACTACAGGCCGTGGCTGGGTGGCTTCAGGCTGAGCCGGCTGAAACTAAACCCAGCGAAGATGGTGGAGGTCCTGTGCCTGAGTCGGAGTGGACCGGGGTTGACTCCCTCTCCCAACCTTCGATGGGGCGCCGTTGGTGCCAGCATCGGAGGTTAGGAGTTTGGGAGTACCTAGCACAAGTGGGGATTCGAACCTGGGTCCTAATCCGACCCTCTTAACCCCTGCACCACGCTGGCTCTCGAGAACAAATCTTTCCACCTTCCCGCCCTTCTTGCCACATCTCCCTCTGCCCCCCTGAAGGTGAGGAAACCCTGCCCAGGTCAGGGTACCGAGGATGAATAACCAAAAGAAGGAGAGCTGCGGACACTGCAGCCGCTCCCTGAGGTGAGCGAAGGTTCCCGAAATATTCAACCCAGTAATTCCTGGAGCTGGAAAGCGTGGGAGCCAAAAAGATTCAAACGCCAACGTTCAGCTTCAGTGAGTATTGCAGAAGATGCAGATTTAACTGACGTGAGGAACTTGGCGTCTGCTCGACACGGCCAGCTTCAGTTCATTTCCGTCTGTTTACAGAAATTTCTCCTGATCCGGACGGCCCAGGCCAGCCTGATCTCGTCAGATCTCGGCAACGAAGCAGGATCAGCCCACGGTTGGTATTTGGGTGGGAGCCCACCAAGGAAGTCCGGGGCCGCAACGCAGCGGCAGGCCATGGCCAACCACCTCTCAGCGTCTCTTGCCTTGAAAACCCTACAGGCCAGGGTGGCCCTAAGCCGGTTGCGACGATGGCAAGACGGTTCCGGGCTCCTTTAGATTAAATCTTTAAATCACAACTGTACTTAAGAGAACATAAGAGAAGCCAGTGTTGGATCAGGCCAATGGCCCATCCAGTCCAACGCTCTGTGTCACACAGTGGCCAGAAATACCAGGGGCCATCAGGAGGTCCAGCTGTGGGGCCAGGACATTAGAAGCCCTCCCACTGTTGACCCCCCCCCCAAGCACCAAGAAGACAGAGCATCACTTGCCCCAGACCGAGACTTCCTACCTATACCTTGTGGCTAATAGCCAATGATGGACCTCTGCTCCATATGCTTATCCAATTCCCTCTTGAAGCCGTCCATGCTTGTAGCTGCCACCACCTCCTGTGGCAGTGAATTCCATGTGTTAATTACCCTTTGGGTGAAGAAGTACTTCTTTTTATCTGTTCTAACCTGACCGCTCAGCAATTTAATTGAGTGCCCACGAGTTCTTGGATTGTGAGAAAGGGAGAATGTGCTTCTTTCTCGACCTGCTCTATCCCAGGCATCGTCTTGTAAACCTCGATCATGTCACCCCTCAGCCGTTGTTTCTCCAAGCTAAAGAGCCCCAAGCGCTTTAACCTTTCTTCATAGGGAAAGTGTCCCAACCCTTTTATCATTCTAGTTGCCCTTTTCTGCACTTTTTTCCAATGCTATAATATCCTTTTTGAGGTGTGGTGACCAGAACTGTACACAGTACTCCAAATGAGGTTGCACCATCGATTTAATCCGGGGCATGATGATACTGGCCGATTTGTTTTCAGTTCCCTTCCTAATAACCCCCAGCGTAGCGTTGGCCTATTTCCTACTGCT